CGGGGAGCGAGGCTAGTGCGCCGTTGTCGCCTACGTCGGAACGGGGATGAGATTTGGAGGATATTCGTTCGTTTGTGGTTGCGTTATTGACTCTACTGTTCATTGTACCTCTTTCACATGTGACTTGTCTTTTTCTTACTGTGAGGCGCTGCTAAGGACTTGGAACTTGGACTGTTGCCTGTCTGTATGATACGCATTCATGTCTCGAATAATACCCCATTCTATCGCAGGCTCTTGAGTCGCCGTGCTGTGTCTGCTTCGCCTCGGCCCTCCGGGCGGCCTGGACGCGTCATCAGAGTCCCCTCGCTTTTCTTCGTCTTTTTGCCCAAGGGCGCCTGCTTTCGCAGTTGAACAAGAGAACGACGTCCGAAGCATGATGCCCCAAAGCCGGTGTTTATATTCAGCAGAACATCGGGTCGACATGGCCGTCGGCGTCAATTGCGGGCAAACCCGCGAAACCCGAGTCTGCTTCTCACCACCATGTTCGCCCTTTGCCATTGCCATTGTCGTATACCATAGGTTGCCTATGCGCGTCACCGTTCCTTGAGAGCCTTCCACGAGAAGGTCTAGAAACAACCGAAGGAGCCAGTCGCCTGCCTACCTGTGCACATCGAGTCCTTCTGCTACCCTTCGCGTCCACGCAGGAACACTGTACCGAACGCCGACCGGCAACGTCGAATTCATCGTGAGAGTCGGTATCTCTATGACGTCCAAGTGTATCCCATGGGCTATACAATCGCTGCTGGTCTTGTGAGTGCCTCGTGGTGTAGGAGAAGTCGAAGCGGGTTTCTCAAGCGCCCGCATCTCGCTGAAGGACATAATATATATGCCAACCAACGCTCACTTGCCGTGTCCTCTCTAGATCTCTCTGTCCGCGCACCATCCTGATTCGACCGTGCGCGAACATGCCTTTCATTGCTTCGCCATCCGGGGTGGTCAGTAATGTCACTGCTCATACTGTACTCCGAGTCCAGCTGACCTTGGAAACATCCAGAACTACTCCGTACCAGGGCCAACAGCCACCGCACTCGCGCGCTTCTTCGCTATCTACTCTGCAAACTTCCACTACAACCCTTCTGTGTCCGCGACCGAAGAGTTCCAGCGGTTGTGCGAGGTCAAAGGGTGGGATAAGGAGGAGGACGGGTACTGGTCGCAGGCGCATGGGACCGCGTATCATAAGTTCAAGGAGGCCTTGGTGCAACAATTCAATGCGACGTACGGGACGGATGTCAACAGCATCGTATCTTGGCAGGCTCTGTGCGGGGCTATTGGCGTTGATCCTGTCCCGGATACGCTGAAGGAGTGCCAATCGGTATGTATGCATCATCCTCGCGCCGTATAGATAGTTACTAAAGCTGGCCATAGAACATTCTGAGCTCGCACGTCAACCTCGTCGATCTTGCAGAAGCGCGTGCAGACGGCACTGAACGCCGTGTCGAGCTCTTCCCGTCTGAAGTAGCGCTCAGCGTATACACACTACGGACGAAGAAGATATTCCCGAAGGATACGGCCTATCACACCGGACTACTTCGTTTCCTCCTTCGTCATATCTTGCATCCACGCAAGGAACCTGTCGCGCGTACTGTCCGCGCGCCAAAGGCCAAGCGGGGGCGTAAGAGGCGTTGATCCGCGGAGAGCGCTCGTTGTACTATTCTAACTCACTGGTTCGCATGTTTAGTATCACTATAAGCTCTCATCACAGAGCTTTATGCTTCTGGCGCAATGGAAACGGGTCTCTAGCCCCTATTCAGCGGGTTGCACCTGAGGAGGAGCGGACGGTGTATACCATAGATTCTGCCCCATGGAGACCTTTTACCACAGCCGAATCAATGGCGTCAAGCACCAGTCACGCCGCCCGTCTGGGTATAGAAGATAACGGGCGAACGGAGCATGGACAAAGTCTGGATACAGTTATACATTCACCTAGACGGTCCGCATCCCTATAGCTACACAGAAGCGACAGGTCTCATGGTGTAGGCCATTCGAAGTTCCTGTATTCCCTTCGACGTGATGTGCTCCCAATTTGAGTCCCAAGTATTCCTCTTCTTCTGTAACTGCGTGGAGTGCGCCCTTCTGACCAGTACGAATGACGCTCCGTGACTAGGTCAAGGCGCTCAGGAAGAGCGTATAAAGATAGATTGGACGTGCGATAACGCTCACCTTGCGTTCCTCCATCGTCGTACCAGGTCATGCCGTCCAGAGGCCCCTCTGGGATCTACGCCCGACCCGAGCAAAAGGGAGTGAAGAGCTCACCGACCACCTCTGTTCCATACGAGCACTATATCTATGAGCCCAACACTTATATCGCCATAGACCATCCGGACTTCGTCTACAGGCCAGCCAAACTTGTTGAGCACACCGAAGACGGCGAACTCGCCCTCGAAGCGCCGCTCGACGACTTCTTCGCGACGTACGAGACCTTCACGTACAACGCGTACGCGTCCGTGACCGACGAATTCAATCGTTTACTGTTGGAGTGTCTTCACTGGGACGTTCATGCAGAGCACAGCGACTACGAGATCAGACACCGGCAGGACGTACGGAAAGCCACCAAGAAGTTCAACAAAGCCCTATTTGAACACTTCCGGCTCATCTTTGGCGTGGAGTATAACAGCTTTCGAGCTTGGCAGGTTCTGTTTAAGGTATTGGGTGCAAACCCTCTACCAGAGACGGAGGACGCCTGTCGTATGGTAAGGTTTCGTTTAAACCTACGTATCTGAGCAGCGCAGTGACATATTTCGACCACAGATCATCCAGGACGTATACGTGAACATGATCGACGTTCTAGATGCTGTGCGCATCAATAGGCTCGGCGTGGACTACAGGGTTCCACTCTTCAAAACTGAGCGCGCACTTAGCGAGTATTCCCTAGAACTCCACCGTATCTTCCCCCTCTGGGCTGCGGAGAGAAGCGGACTGCTCAAGGTGCTCCTGAGAAGAATCCTGGACCCGTCTGAGCCCACTGGAGAAGAAGAGATACATCCATCTTTCGAAGTCCAGCGTCGGAAGCTGTTGAATAGGTTAGCGGCTAAACGTGTGAGGAGACACAATGCCAGGTACGTGGTCACGATAGCGTAGACGATGTTTGGAAGGTGACAGACCTTCACAGGAGTTTGGAAGTCGCTCTTGCAGTGGAAGCACTTGCGCGTCTTGAACTTTAGCCATTGATGACACCCGGCCTTTGCGGCTCGACGTGCTGCTTCTTGTGCAACGATTCTTGCTCTGTGTATCGCGAGGCCAACGTGAGGCCGTATAGTAACGCATGGTGGCATCCTCAGTCAGATCTTCATATTCACTGCCACGGCATTCGGTCTAGAGCTGTCAGCCTTGTGGACGTGGCCCTATCTGTCAAGCAGAAAGGAGAGTAAAAGTCATTTATTACGTGCATCTCACTTTGTCTACCACATGAATCTCCATAAAAGTTCTGATCGCCGGCACGTCAACACACCCGTCGCACGATGAAGACCGGAGGATATCTGCGTACTGACGTGAAAGCACGCTCGAAGCCGAACGAAGTACTTCGCTTCTTTGAGGGTACACCGTCGAGGCGGCCGCCAACTTGCGCTATCTCCGCACGGACTCGCCCAGCGAGGTCAGGTTCTGATAAAGCTGAGATAATGTAGGCTTCGAGCATTCCCAGAAGGCCGCCAGAGCTAGATGGTACCGATGGTGAATAGCAGTGTAGATCTCTGAAGATCGACCTACATCTTGAGAGGAGCTCATCGTTGATTGACACCGATGATGCCTCTTGCTTGGTTGCCCTCACGAATAAGCAGAACTGCCAGCATTTCGCCGTCATGTTCTGACCAGAAGCGTTTGCTGATCGGCCTTCAAGATCTCGGGTCATAAATGGGCAATTATGTACAATCGGCGGTCAAGTACACGGCGAGGTGCCACGGCGACTTCTTCGAGTACACACGGCCGGTTTGATCGCCGAGTCGTACACACAGGACGGCTGCATGTCACCCATAGACATCAGATTCGCCGAACTTCATCGGAGGGAAACTATGCCGATTCTTCTGGTAGTACCATCTGAAGCACAATGCTCACGGCGGAGAATCTGGGGTAAACGAGAGCGCTCCACGAGTGATAAGAAGCAGGCCGTGGCCGCCGTCGTCCTTCAGCGAAGAGAAGGCGGCCTACGGCGGCGCGAAGCCTGCGATCTGTCCGAGATGCGCCGCGTCCTGAGTCTCAAGTGGTGTAGCTGCTCCATATGGACCGTTGAGGCGCAATCTCGGGGCTGCCGGGCGCAGGGCACGCCGCCCATGACCTGCGAACAAGGAGACAGAAGAGCCAGCACACTGCGGTCGACGGAGAACTTGATCATGGTCTGATATCGTACGTTCGGTTCCCTTCAGCCGGATTGCTTCAGAGATGGGCCAAATATATCAGATATGGAAAGAGTGACGGAGATGTCAGGAGCGGCGAACTCTCGCTCATCATGGTCATGTCGAAGACGACAGCCGACAGCGCGTCTCGAGGCCCGGATCAAACGTGTGTGAATCTCGGCCCCGGAGGGCTCCCACTCAGCGCATCCGGCGCGTCGAGCCTAGCGCATAACCATCATGGCCAGCCAAATGCCATTGTACACCGTAGCTTGCTTCAGCACAAGAAATGGTGTTCTGGTGTCAGACACACTTGACGCCATACGGTCGCTATCAGTACTCGCAAAAGAAGGCAAACCGGACCCGAATACCGCTCCAAGTTCAAGCCTCACTGAAACTACACGCTGGACATACGTCTCATGTAGTTCAACTTGGGTGGCTCATGACTGTATGGCTTTAGTTCGCCTGCCCTGAACCCGTCGTCATTGCGCCTTGTCTCCGAGATCCTCGGGATCTCTCGCAACGCTCCGCGCTCGCCAGCAACAATGCGGATCTAACGCGTCGCGTTGAAGACAGACACACTTGCGACGGCATCGGGGCGGCTACATCTTTCAGGCGTGCCTTTGAAGATTCAACCGGTGTGGCCCAGATGTGACGTGCTTTGCGAGCATCGGTTCTGTCAGTATGTGTCGGGAGTTGTGGCACCAGTGCGGCGGACGATTCCGCTCCTCCGTTGTATGGTTTGCAGTCATCCGCGGAGACGAAGGGCTCAAGTGATATCCCTGCATGCTCAGAGGCGCTCTGGCTACTCGCTTTAGGTCTTTGAATGCTTTGCATGGGTTTTCATTCACCGACGAGTTCGGACGGGCTACATATGAACATCGAAGATGTCTCTTCACTCGCCTTGCATGCCACATTCGCACCTCGTCATTGGGACCAGGCACTGGGTGTGTTCCTTACTTTACGTTTCAGTTGCTCAGCAGGTATGCTGAAAGGCGGCAGAACACAGTGAAGCACCTGCCGTCGAATGGATGTGGCGCGTTGTGTGATGACCTGTGTACCAGTCAGGTCCGTGCAGGTCCGTATACCGTTGTTCTTGACGCACAAACGGCCTCGTTATCCCCGTACCCCTGCTCGTCGCTTCCAACTCTGGTATGCAACCTTCGCATATTCTGTAATGCCTGTAATGCGCTCCTCACGCATGTGCTTATAGGTCACGATAAACTTTCGCGATTTACAACATGCAAGCCTCAAGGCGTACCTATGACTGCGCTCAGCCTGTAACCAGGCAGATAGGCTTGCCGCAGATGCGCTCCTTTCGGGATTGTGGGGCGGGGGCGGCCCCTGGTTGACAACCTTTTGTGGAGGAGATCCAGGAGGACAGATACCGGCCATCATAAAGCATATTCGGGATCTATACGCGTAAACTCCTCAACTCAAGCGCATACGTCGGTCAAGTTCCTCGTCATCGCACCTAGCAAATACGACTCATGACAACGCAACCATACATCGAACTAGCGGAAAATACGGGCGGAAAGTCCGAGCTCAGTCAGACCAAAACCCACATCGTCGTCGTCCCATCCACCCTCTATAATGCTATCCGGAGTTCTGCTCCCCGTGCCGCCTCTCCCGCCGCACGCGCAGCCCGCTCCTCCCACGCACGCCATCCCCGACGCGCTATCGATGAGCTCAGGCGCATCGATAGCGGCATCGGAGGGCGCGCGTTGTGGGTCCACCCCGTCCCGCGCCCGATCAGGGCCAGGGCGGGACTCGCGCGCGACGGCATCGGGACACGATGCACCAAGCTTCGGCCACTTCGGGACGAGTGGCGGAGTCTGAGCAGGTCTGAGCGCCGGCGGGCGCATTCGCGTAGTAGCGCGTACCGCTGTTACGAGCTTGAACGTGCGCTCGGAGAGAGATGTGGCCAAGGCTTCTGGTCAGCTAGCGCTCTTGGTCAGCTCAGCAAAATATCTGTAGCGGTCGCGCTTTCCGAAATATAACGAGCGCGAGCGCAGCAGCTTGATGGTCGACGACTGACGTGTCTGTGTGGCCGCTAGACCACCTCAGTCATCCATACGGGGTTGACTCGCGCGCGCCGAACGAAAAGATTTACGACTCAGCGCGCACTATAATTTAGCTTGAGCTCCTCCATGCGCTGCCAGACCGAATATACGGTTGCGGACGTAGGACTCCGTACGCCGCGCTGGCTGTGCGAGCAGGTGGTGATGCGCAAGACCAGTCAAGCCTCTCGCCACGCTCTGGTCCAGCACGCAGCAGGCTCGTCTTCCTGCGCTTGCGCCACCAAGAGAACCGCAGCACCCTACAATCGAATTATTATTTCAACACGTGTACTGTGCCGCCTGTATAGACGCCCAATCGAGGCTAAAAGCAGTTGATTTCCCCACGAGCCCGAATTCGTTTGTCGAGCTCGACGAGCACGGAATCGACATCCACGCATACAGACAGGGATGGCGGCAAATGGGCGTCTACAGCCAACATTGTATTGCATCTAGCATGAGAACAAAGCGCCTCGTGGGTGTCTAGTGCGGTAGTGGGCGTGACGTCGTCGCTAACCGCCACTGTGGCACCGGTGCCGGTTGCTGGAACAAATGCGGGCCACACCATGCCGCGCGAGCGAGGCGCTCGTGTACTCGGTTTGGCGTAGGCTCGTCCACAGCGCCTGCTCTCGACCGGAACTCGACGCGGGCCTACGCTCATCCCGATGTACCCGAGCAGAGCGCCCTATGTCATTGTCAGAGGTCGAACTCAAGCTCAAACAAGTCCAACATACCAAAGCCCAAGCTCTCTATCGCGCCGACGGCCTCAGTATAACGTCCACAGCACCCGAAGCCGGCGGGAGCGCACGACGAGCTCTAGCGTATTGCATCAGGGCCCACAAATCCTCCCACAGCACCCTCGTCCAACTCAGCCTGAGAGCGCAGTTGCGGCAGCGCTCGAGCTTGTATGCACCCAAATTAATGCGTTGGAGGCGCTACGCCGGAAAAGGCAGAAGGCGCGTCGGAGGACCGCGCCGGGCACTTGATGGTGGCGGCGGGCTCATGATGCGGCGGGGGCCGGGTCCGGGGCAGCTGAGGCGCACAGCTGATGCGCTCGTTGCTCGATGCTGACCTTGCGTTGGGGGCGGATCGGGCAGGCCTGTATATTCTGGACTGATAGACGTTGCCCGGGTCAACGCCACTGTATAGCGTACGGGTAAGATGGTGAGAGATAGCGCGCATCGATTAGGACGCGGCGAGTGCGCCCGGCGCCGCGCGATAGAGGCAGGGACGGCCGTACAGACAGATAGATGCGCCACGAACAAACCGACATGCATACAGCTGGCGTCGCATGCCCGAGTTTCCGCCACAATTCCACCGCCACAGCAACCTACAGACGAATAGAGCGCCGACACGACGCGACGCCCAACGACATGACAACCAGCGCCTCGGGCATGGCATGCAGGCGCGCGCAAGATCCGGCGATAGCCCATTTTACGAGCGAGGGCATGAGGCGGGCTTCATGGCAACCAGCTCCGGAGTCAGATCAAAACCTAGTGGGCGTGTGTGGGCGCCGCTCGGCAGCGGCGCTCATTGGCTCAGGGCATAATTGCGGCAAACAGGCGCGGAATCAGCCCGGAAGGCGCGCGCGGGCGGACGGCGGCTGACGGCGGCCATCTATCGTACGCTCGCCCGAACAGCAATCTTCAATATACCGGTAGGGCGCGCACCGGCGAGGATAGACAGCCGGATGGCAGCGCAGTAAGATGGGGGAGGGGGAGGCGTTGAATCGAGTGGGCGAAACGAGGTTGCGACGTTGCGACGGATTAAGGAGAAGGATGCGCGCTCGATGGTGACGCTACGCGACGACGCGAGAAGCGAGCGCGCAGAGCCCGAAGCGCTGGGAACGGGCAGTCGGAGCGGGGAAGCGATATGAGCGGCACACGAACATTGCGCGATTACCATACGCGGTCCTCGAGGCGTCTCGAGGACAAAGCAAGCATATGGGTCCCCTTCAGACCTCGGATACAACTGTAGCTTGAGTGGCACACGCGTGAACATCACATAAAGGAATGGCGAGCTGGAAAGGACCCTGTGGCAGGCGCGCAGGTAAGGTGTGGCGCGTATTGGGGGAAGACTGGAAAGGCGGGAGAGGTGCTGATCGTGGCGGGCCATCCATCGCCCGCCGCATGTAGGCGCCCAATGTGACGCCGCAAAGGCAAACTTGAACAAAGCGCGCCTTTCGCATCAAAGAAGCGAATCACGACACGTCTCGAGTAAGAACAAACGTAGAGAAGTGGCGGCCGAGAGCCCTGAGGAGAGTATGCCAATTCCTGAATCAGCTCTTTCATTAAAGTCGTAAGAAAGGAAGAGAAGGTCGTATGCGCCTTTGTGTCGACAGTGACGATCTCGGATCATGGCAGGGAAGAGCTGTATGGCGTGTGCCAGTACGGCGAGTCGTACGGTCGGTCGTACGAGAAGCGGAGAGCGTGGCTTTGGCGGATACACGCCTTTGTGTTGTTGCTGTTCGCGAAGCGCCGCGAGGTGATGCGACGCTTTCCTCGTTCGCCGGACAATTACCGTCGGTCGCTACGGAGGCGGACAAAGGGCTGCGAAACATTCGCCGTCGACTCATGTCGAGTGCGGTGGGAGCGGATGGGTAGACGCTGATGTCACTCGATATGGAGGCGAAGAGAGGAAAAATGAAATATGCAAATCACGTCGCTGCCTCGCGGCGGGCGGAGGTGTGGCTTGGAGCGTGGCGGCTTTGTTTGACAGCGCATGCAACTCTCGCACCGCATCGCTGGGAAGCCAAGCTGCTGTTGAGCGCGCGCTTGTCGGCCCATCTGGATCTCGATGGGCGGTGGTCGTTCGAGTTGGCTCTCTGCGTTCCGATTCTTTTCTTTCTGCGTTAAAAGTGTGGGCACGGGCGAAGGCTGGGGAAGCCGGTGTTGTTGAGTAATTGGATGTATGATGATGCGGGTGCAGAGGTACGGACAAAAGGCTGATGGGAGGATATACAGGCACGGACGCGGGAGCAGGACCGGACAGCCGCGCGCCGATCGGTCGGGTCGACGACGATCTCTGCCGCGCAAGGCCGCGTCGGAAGTACAAAAGGACGGGTCCCAAAATATTCGATGCGTCACCATCCGCACCTCCCAAAGTCGAGAACAATGTCCTCCACCGGCTACTCTACGCTCTTCACCTCCGGCCTCGAGTCTTCGCGTCCGCGCCAGTCGCTCAGCCCGGCCAAGTCTTACCTTTCGCTCTCCTCCGAGAGCTCGCGCTCGTCGCGCACCTTGCCGTCGCCCAAGCCGGTGCCGTCCATGCCGCTGCCGCCTTCGCCACAGGCATCGACGTCCGCGGTACCCAAGCCCTCTGTGCGCCCTACTCAACAAAACCTCAACTCGGCCCGCGCTGACGCACTCGCCAGCCTTGAGGGTCGTACCTCCCAATCATCCCACTCATCCAAAGCTCGCGTCCGCCCTGTGCGCCGCAGCTTCATGTCCATGTCCGACGACGAAGACTCGGACTTGGAAGCGGAAACATACCAGCCCCGTCCCAAACCCGCCGCACTCGCCCGCCGGTCGCGCGCGAACACGGTCACCTCCCAACCACCCGCACCTTCACCCTCGCCCCGCAAGCAGAAGCGCTCAAGTCTCTTCAACGGGATCGCGCTCGCGCCTAATGCCATGCTTTCGTCTTTCGGCATGAAGCGCCGCAGCCGGGGCGTCAGCGACGCCGGCGCCTGGCTCGCCAACTTCCTCGACCTCGACCTGGACGCAGCCGATGCAGGACACGGCAGCTTCAGCGCCGCGCGCGCCGCATAGCCTGTCTTGTTTTGTGTTTGCCTGCTTGTCCCCTCTCTCGAGTTGTATGATTGCCCGCCTGCAGATGCTGTTCTTATTCGCTATGTTGTTCTTACCCAGTCCGGACTCAAATCACCATGCATTGTACGTAGTAATACCACCACCATTCCCCGACTCCATCACCACTGCATTATTTCGCGTCTCGTCTCTTGTCTCCTGTACATACCATAATTCGCCTCTTCCATACCACCCCCGCTTCCCGTAATACCTCTCGCCCACTCCACTCCCATGTCCGCGCCCGACCCGAAGATGCTCTCATCTCACCATGCTCGATGGACGCGACCCGCACACGATTCTGATCATAATGCTCTACGTATAGTACGCACTCCCATGCAATCTCGAACGATGTTGCCCAGCCTTCCACAACCACAACCCTCGGTGTGATTAGCGCCCTCCCCAACAGATCAGGTATGACAGCGCCCGGTTCGAGCAGATAACCGTGCATCGCCAGCCGCTGCGGCGCTATCGTTCATCTCTTTCGCCCAGTCTCGCTCGTGATCCATCTACGCCATCGCATCGCTGGAAGCCCGACGTAAGCGCCGCTATCACAGGACGTTCCCTCGACTCTTCTGCTGCTCGCACGGGCGCAGATGCCGCCTCGGCGGAGGCTTGCGCAGCCCACGCTCTGCCCCTACGAAGCGCACAGAGTTCGTCGACCATCAGAACTTTGCCTGCTACTCTTGGGCCGCCGTACCTGTGCGGTGTACGTGGACGGGTCGAGTAGAAGCATCGCAGCGTCTCGCGGGCTGTTGCGATGGCTCGCTTTGGACTCGCCGTCGCGAACTTTGGGCGCGTACTAGAATCGCCCTGGACTGTGTGCCCTGCAGCCCTGACTTCTTTTCCTTTCTTTTCCTTCGCTCGGGCTCTCTTTCGCTATTCACTACAGCTCTTCGGCGCGTAGGCTTTAGGTACTTAGCAATGCCATGTCATTCTCATCGTCACCCGGCCGGTCCTCGCAGTCTATCCACTCAACACGGCGCCCGCGATGGGCGCTCGAGCTCATTTGCTCATTTGGGACCGTATCACGCGCGCGATGCGGGATGCGGGTTGGGCGTTTGTCGAGCGTAAGCTGGGCCGGGCTCGGAGTATGCTTCACCATGTACGAGTAAGGCGGCGTACGAGAGTAGTCATGATCTACACGCTACACATCATGTACGACTCAGATCAGAGGTGCAAGGATGGTCGATGGAGATGAGGATCGCTGCACTGGTGATATGATAGAAGCAGCGAAGCGCTGGCCGGCGCTTCAGCGTCGATGACTACATACCGCATACTGTTGTCTGGAATGTAGAGTTCGCAGATGCAGGTGATTCCCATCGATAATGAACTGCACGGGCACCTCCGGACGTCGTGTGATGGACAACGTACCACAGGTGTAGATGGAAGAGGTTATCTGACGCGTCGGGCGGCTAGTAGACGTCGGTCGTCGGGTACGTTCATCCTGATTCATGACGTGCACGACGGCGTCAGCGATACACCTGATGTTCTGCACAATCATTCCGAGTCCGACCTGCATTCTGAGTAGTCTGAGACGCATGTACCTGCGCATGCGCGCGCGACGGATTGACTGTGCAGTCGCTCATCAACAAAAGAGCAAAAAAACTGTAAGTCCTTGACAGGACCATACAAGGCATTGTAAGCTAGCCAACCGGGATCGCGTGGGAATGCCATAAACAAGGCCTTGCACGACGACGTTTTCCTCACATTTGTACGGAAGTTGCCATAATGGTTGCAAGAAATCGCCAGGCTGCTACATGCTCATAAGCCTTGTCCTGACTTTGTAAGGATCGCAAGGTGTTCTATGACGCTTGTGGGTCCCCCAGGCTGCTACAGGCTCATATACAGTGCCTCTGAATCACCGCGCTGCGAGCGGTTCGAACCGTCGCGTCAGGCACTTCAGTTCGGTCGGTTTCTCGCGTCATCGACAATTTCTCTGGCATAGTATATAATTTATTATCGATCGAATTGGGTTTCTATAGTTGTACTGTACGTAGCATTGTACGAGAGGGCCGTAAGTGCGACCACGCGCCCCTACCGCACAGCATGATTCCATCATCCCCCAGCTGATGTTGGCGTAGTCGGAGAGCTCGAGATCGCGGACCAACTGCAGGAGGGCGCGGCGCGGGACTGAAGGCACGTCAGCTCGGCCGCGTGCTTGCATGATCAGATCGATTGTGCGGCTCACCGAACGCGCCTTGCATTTCCCGTCATGCACCTCTCCTTCTACCCTCGACGACCATGCCTGCGACATATCTAGCTTGAATCTAGCTTGAACTCGAAGTACCTTCAAATGAAAGAATCATTTCGGACTCATCTCGGCAACTACACACAATTGAAGTCGACTAAACCGTCTCCGTTGCGTGCGAGGGCTGCACAAAGTTAGACAGGCATGGGGTGTATGGTCGTGCTTACCGGTAAACTTGGTGCGTCGACTGGCGCCTTGCTTGACCTCTTATACTGAGTGTGACACAGATGATCATCTGAGGCACATGGTGCCTACTGAGCAGGCAGCACGTACGTACAGCACCGTCGGGCGCGGGCGCCAACATCACGCGTCACGACCGGCTGCCGCGCTCGCAGCGAGGTGTGCTCTGCCTGTTGGCCCGATTCAATAATGTCGTACACTCAACCCCACGGAGTCCCTCTATGCCCATCTCAGTACGGCTTATCTTTACTCTACATGTACTGTACTGGGGTAGGTAGCGAGTACTCCGGCTTATGGCTTACTGAATCCGTACTGCAATGTTCCGTGTATGAGTATCCTGTATTCATCGATACCACATATTCTACATGCTACATACACGAGTCCGATTCAGAATGAGAGCGAGCATCAGAGTTCGTATCGAGGTGAAACCCATGAACGCCAGGCGGGCACTCGCACGGCAGTGCCAATAACCCTTATTCCGGACTTGGGAAGACCATACGTACCTTGCACCGCCCATGACAGGTGCGCTGCCATCCTGACAGTCGCTCACCGTCCTTGCAAACCCCTTGCGAATGTGGTAACAGGCTGCGAATGCCCTCATCAGAGCGGCGGGTCGCGTATAACCTTCGTAAGTCGCTTGGAATCATGAAAATATCCTTATATTGACGATAAGGTTTTAGCGGCCAAAAGCGGTTTTGTTGATGCTGTTAACACGTCATACATGGCGTCGACTGGTCGCCTATCTGCCGCTGAAGCCCTGCTCTGTACGCCTCGATCGCGATATGTGGAACAGTGGTGAAACGGGCGCATATAGTCTGCACTGCGCAACCGACTACAGCTGGTACGTGCCGCAAGCTTGATTGACAAGGACAAGCGTCGTCATACCTGGCGTGCCGCAACATCAACCATCTTTCATACATAGACGTCGGAATGTCAATAAGACGTCGGTAATGCGCACTTGTAAGCGCTATGTGGCGCGAGATGCGTACGACGTTGAACTCGTATGCGTAGTGGCGCGTCTCTTCACGCACTTGCGAGAAAGTCGGATTGGAGGATTCAGTCAGATGTGCCACAGGTAGACAAAGGACAGTCGCCATGTCTACGTGCGGAGCCGGTGTACAAACGATACTGTGTTGCGAATACGAACGTTCAAGCCGTGCTCTTCGGCCCCGCGCGTTTCGACGTAGCAGCGGCCACAACGTCGCGTCCAGACGTGCGCCACAACTTCATTATGCCACGCCCCTCATCCTCCGAGACACGCACTACCTTTAACCTGCTTATAGCCCTCCGAGACAGCCCAGCCCAGCCAACACGTATCGCGCCTGCAGAGCGTATAGAAATATACCTCCGTCTCCGCGTCGCCCGAGGCAACAGGACAGCTCCCGGCGCCCGCAGAGAGCATACCGACAAGTGGAGCGATCGAGTTCAAATAAGCACATCCGGCAGACGGTCGGCTGCGCTCCGAGACGGTGGAGTCGGCGTTGCTGTTACTGGGCGGAAGCAACTGTCGCGCGGCAGCCGCGGCGGCGCGGCGGGATTGACGGAGGCTTCTTTGCGGGAGGCTCAGGCTGACGTGCGCTCCGTGCCGCGCCGCGTCGGAGCGCTCCAAACGGCTTTCGGGTTGCGTGCGCTTATTTGCGCGCACTGCACCGGGCGCGCTGCGGTCGTAGCGACCGAGTCGGAGTATATTGCGTCGACGGTGCAGGCAGTCGTGATTCCGAATTGGGGCGGCAGAAGAGTCGTACCAGAACTTTCTCAGTTTCTTGCATGTCGTTCGTATGCATCTGGAGGGTCAATCCATGTCAGTCAGGCAAGTCTCATACGGCAATAGGATAGAATAAAGAAGCACAAGAAGCGCGGCGATAAGCGCGATGCAGTCCAACGAGGGTTCTTCTTCGTTAATATGATAGAGGTCCTGTGGCGAGTCCGCGGATGACAGCTGCATGCTCAGAGCGCAGATCCAATCTCCCATAGCACGGATGTCACAACTCCCCGAACGTCAGGCCATGCGCAAAGCATTCAACCGCTATCATGCTAAGTACCCATAAATGCGTGAAGGCCGAATAAGGCATAGGTGTATTGGCTTGGGATGCATAGCGCGGTGGCATCATAGCCGCTCGGATGGGTGCGAGTTGGGTGCGAGCGGCAAGGAATGCTCGGAGAATATGATGACGATGGGCGCAAGGCTGGCGGCGAGCGTCCCCAAATCTGAAATCATCCAGCAGCATCTTGCTACCTCTTTGGGATTGTCATGTGCGAGCATACGGAAAGGGTGGTCCGCACTTTTCAAAGCTGCGAGCATCGTACATCGTGATCCTCGCGCTGTCGCCCCAGTGACGGCCAGGCATCACATCCTAGTCATCTGCACGACATATAATATACCCCATTATGTAGAGGTCCTTGAAGTCAAAGCAACGAGGGCTGTAGTCGGTATCAAATGGAGAGCGAAGATGCATAGGTAAAAGGGTGGTGGTATTACGACCATGGCTGTCGAAAGCACAATTGTCGCCCACCATCATGGCGCACGGAAGTTGCGGACAAGTTGCCCGGAATCCGCACGCGCCTGATCTCGGCACGAGCTGCCACCGCGACGGGCGCGCCGCTCAGAATGAACGGTCATGGCCAGCGCACATCGTGGAAATATCACTTGAAGGATTCTGTAGTCCTCGATCTCCCTCACTTGGGAGTTGCTGTCATGCACAGAGCGTCTCAACGCGAGTTCCCTTCCCTCGGCATCCCTGGTGGTACCAAGGGACGCAATACCGCGCTCGGCGAGCCTTGAACACTGTCTTACGCCCTCTCTGACCCTGCACGAGTTGGACACGAGCGCGCAACTCAGTGCTCGGCGCCCGGTAAGAAGAGCGCGCGCGACGACTCGCGGACAGATCGCAGCACCGTACCGGGACTTCAACCTACATTCCCGTCGTTGACCGATGGCGTCTGTGGCTCACATCTGTGGCTTGATCTCTTACCCTGACTTCGGCCGCCTCTCCGTGACGTCAGAAGCTTTCTGAAGGTCTGAGGTGGATTGCCAAGGAATATCGCTCGAGTATTGCTTCCATCTCTCAAGGCGCCCGCAAGCACGCATCCCTGGTTTACGGCTTTTCAAGCGTTCTACACGGGTTCACTATCTACATAACGTTCCTCAGACGTGAACAGAAATATGTCTCATAGTCTAACATCTTCTACTACGATTGTGCCAGGTTATTGGCTGGAGATATCATGGACTGTCTTGACCGCAAGTACTGCTGGAAAACCGGACCCAGGGAAGGTTCTCCTTCCGTCAAGTGCACACGTCCTCGTACAAGAAGAAACGCTACATAGAACTGCTAACGGAATTGAAACCCGACTATTGGAGGCAACACGACTCCGAAGTGGCTGGTGGCGGCCAACCCTAACCCTAGAGTATCGCCTCGGATTCGCGGCGCGCGCGGGGCCGGTCCGGGCGGGCAACGGGCGGGCACCATCCTTGCCCTTGACCACCATCCTGGGATCTTACATCTGCCATTGAACGGACTCGAATATATCGTACTTTCACACTATGGATGGTCGGAATGGCGAGGATTTGACACCAGAAGTTCCCCCTTTTGACATAGATGATCGTAGTCTAAGGTGCGTTGACTCGCATTACAGGTTGTGCTGGATTTGCTGACCTGATGCATAGTAATAACCGAGAAAACATGCATTCAGCGATGCTTGTCATTGAGAATGTCCTGAAGATGTTACGCGAAACCGATAGCTCGTCGCACAAGGCGCTGTGCTCCATGTCTTATCCCGACGGCAAGCATGCGCTCGAGATGATTGATCCGTCCCTTCATAGCTTGGGAGACATCTCCGAGGCACTGGAACGCATCTCCGGCGAGCTCGGAAGTCGCCGTACGGCGATCTCGCGCGTCGTCAACCCCATACATAACCAAAAGCTCCCCGTAGCAAGTCTTCCGCCCGACGTCCTACACATTATCTTCGAAGAAGTGGCTTTCGAATGTCGTCCTCACTCTGGATTGCTGAAGCTGGGGTGGATTGTTCTGGCCCATGTTTGTACCTCATGGCGCAATCTTTTACTTTCCATGTCAAACTTATGGGCCCGCGAGGTTGGCGCTTTCCGTTCGGCGGCAAGTTTCCAGGAGATCGCCAATCGGGCTCGGATGGCGCCGATGAGCGTTTCAAACCCTTGGGCCTGGTTCGATCATGAACCACTCCCCGACCACTACTGGCCGATTATATCCCAGATCTCCAATATAAAGGCCATTTGCTTCACACCCTTACACCCGGACAATGTTCAACGTCTAGCCAACATTCTGGCAGGTCAATCATCCACGATGCTGCGATCTTTAGCACTGCTCTCGAGACAGGAACACTATGAGATAACACTACCTTCCACATTCCATTGCCCAAATTTGCGCTGGGCGTCGTTCGAGAACACGTTCATACCTTTCGACAGCCACCATCTTGTCGGTCTCTTGATAGTTGGGAGCTCACACGACGCTCCGGCAGGAGTGAATTTGGATCAGTTCCTCGACGTATTGCAAACATGCAGCAGTCTTTCCATCCTCTGCCTCAAACTATGGGCACCCCGTGTCCTGTCAGTCACCACGTCCCGCACGGTCCACTTACCTGGCCTTCAGACTGTCGCGATGTCTGATCACCCCGGGCATACTTCGTTCATCGATATATGCATACATCTTTCCCTCCCGCTTCTAAGTTACCTATTCCTCGACGTGGATCAAAGTCCAGTACCCGATACTGTTCCTACGATTATGAGCTGGTTGCTGTCGGGCGCACAGATCGACTCACCGTGCATGAAGAACGCCAGTCGTCTCAGTGTAACGAGCACAGGCCACTCGGTCTCATCTTGGGTGGCAGCTACTGGTCACAACGACTTTCGTGTTCGCATTGACAACGGACGGCTCAAGCGTATGAGTCCGTCGTTGTATTTTGAGTTCCCCATTGAGGAAAATCGCTGGGATCAATGCGGGGTCGGTGTTCATATGCACTTCCTAAACATGGTGGGTGGGGATGGCAACCCAGTGACTGACACCACCTTCTTCCGTACCGTGACTCGCGGATGGACGCGGACGGACTTCGTGGACTCCGCGTCTCGCCCTACCATCAAGAGCGCATACTTCGACTCTCAGCTTACAGCGGTTGACTGGGACGCCGTGTTTGAAGATCTCACGGGCGTAGAGACGCTCTACATCTCCGACTTCCCATACATCTGGGATGAACCTGGGGGCAATCGCGACGACGGGCTGCTCTCAGCACTATCGAGGATCGTCCAATCCAATGGCACAATGTTGTTGCCTCGTCTTCGCAACATCGTTTGCGGATACCCGTCTTTCCTCGATGCCGAGTTAAGGGATGAAGAGCCGAGTCGGAATGCGGGGCGGCTAGTGCGCGAGATGCTCCGCTCTAGAGCTGAACATGGAATGCCGATACGCAGCATGCGAATTCGTACTCGTAGAGTTGCTCCGGAGGATGACAACAGTGATAAGGAGACGAACGAGCAGCTTCAAAATCTTGTAGACTCGTACCTCTGACTTGACATGCAGACTGAGCGAAGCTCTACATGGATGTTGTACAGTATAGGTAGCATGCACAAATGGTAGAACTCCCATGTTGTGATTGTTCTGCGGCCGCAGCGCGTGTAGCAACTTCAGGGCGGCCTACTATACTAGTAGTAGTTATGGGTACCGCTCTCTGTATCAGTCAGTTTCTTGCAGTGACTACCGACTACCGCCGCAGCCGGGAGTTGAACTATGATGAATGGGGGTGTTGCTGTTAAGCTATGCACAATACGAAAGGCGATAAGAAACGCCCATACGTCAAGCCGTTTCGGGTTTATCGGCGCGATTGATGTCTTGCGCCGCGTCGCGGCGAGAGCGTGACTTGTCCCCGACCACCACCTCAATTGCGCACGACCGAACGTTGAATATAGAGCATCACCCTCTTCTTCTGACGTGCTATGAATAGCGATGCTACTATAGATCCTAGAGAGATTGAAGGGCGCCCGTTGCCGGATACATCTTCACATCTCGACGACCGTAGCTTGAGGTGCGCGCGCTTGATTCTATTCGCGCGGAAGGATATGCTACTGACCTGACAATTTGTATGGACAGCAGCCATCCTTCTGGAGACATGAAATTAGACATTAGTATCGTCCAGAATATCGTCAATATGCTGCAGGATGCCGATCTCTTGTCGCGCGAAGCGCTCGCCTCTGCATCATCCTCTCGAGGGGAACGTGCACTCGGGATGATCGATTCACTGTTCCACGGTCTAACCGGCGTCGATGAGGCATTCGGACGTCTGTGTGACGAATTGGACTTTCGGCGTGCGAAAATCGCTCGTATCGTCGGTCCCAGTCACAACAAGAACCTCCCTATCATGCGCCTTTCAGACGATATCCTCCATATCATATTCAAGAACGCGGCTGAGCCTATCGGTAGAACAGGCTCACTAGGATGGGTGGCGATATCTCATGTCTGTTCTGCTTGGCGTCGTATCGTGCTGTCTATGGCCACGTTATGGGCCGGTGAAGTGGGCGCATTCCGTTCTGAAGCAAGTTTCGGAGAAATACTTCTTCGAGCTCGAGAGGCGCCGTTGATCGTGAAGAATCCCTGGGCTTGGTTCGATCATGGCCCACTTCCGGAACATTACTGGCCTGCTCTATCCCGGCCGTCCAGGATCCGTGCTATCTATTTTGAAAGGCTACATCAGGACGATGTCAGGCGCCTCGCCACTATCCTGAGCAGTGGTCCGTCCACAGATCTGTACTCCTTGGCTCTTGGCTCGAGAGCAGAAGCATTCCATGAATCACATCCGGCTATGGCTTATCATCCCAGCCTGCGTTGGCTGTCATTCCAGAACCTATTCATCCCGTTCCAGGGTCATGGCCTCGTCGGACTTCTCATCAACGGAGAATCGGGCGATAACCAGTCGGGCGTTACCCTGGATCAATTTCTCGACATACTGCAAACCTGCAGGAACTTGTCCATCATGTCCCTCTGCCAATGGATGCCCTCTGTCGGGCACGCTGATGTTGATATCCGAGCATCGCGCAAGGTGGAGCTGCCCCGCCTCCGGGTCCTCGCAATGCTTTCGTTCTCAAACGACCGAAATGCGTCCTATATCGATCTCTGCACACGCCTCACCCTTCCTCTTCTCACTTATCTTGCTCTTGACGAGGCACCCAGGTTCAAGCCAGAAGCCATCTCCGCGTTATTGAGCTGGATATTATCGAGCGCCCCAATGGCGCCGTGTGTCGAGCAGGCCGATTATATGAGCGTGATCAGCAATTGTCGCCGGAGCCTAGACGTCAACATCCACGGCATGCGAGACCCCGATCTGGTTCCACAATTTTGCCACTATTTGAACAACGAACTCAACGAGTGGACCAAGCTCGGGAGTGGGATTAGTCTTTCTTTCAAGAACATAACGAACGACGAGGGCGTGCCGATGACAGACAGTGCTCTCTTCCGATCAGTGACGCGCGGGTACGCGGACGCCCTGTGCGCTCCTTACCGACACGCTTTTAATGGTGTCCAATTCGACTCTCAGAGCAGCGCGGTCGATTGGGACGACATACTGCGCGCTCTCGCAGACATAGAGACGCTCTACATCCCACAGCTCCCCTTCATCATGTTGGATGAACCTGACAATGTCGTCCAAGACGGTATGCTAGCCGCTCTGACGAGGATTAGCCCAGATGGAACGATGCTGTTGCCCAAACTTCGGACGATCGTGTGTGCGGGTTTCTACTTCCTACGACCCGATTCGACGGCTGTCAATGCCAGGCATAAGATCATCGTAGACCCGGTGTACGAGATGCTTCGTGTGCGCGCTGCGCATGGTGTACCTGTGTATCGCATGAGGGTCAACTCTGGATCTGACAATGAAGATGAGGAAGAGCAGGACGAGCAGGATGCACAAACGAACGCGTACCTCCGCGAGCTCGTCGCGTCTTATTTAAGAGGGGTGAATCCCGAACTTAACACAGACACTTAATCCCAGTAGTGGTACAAGATGAGCACCAAAGATGACGCACGCGAACTGGCGATGACTCGATGCTTTCGAGCTTGACAACATGTGAGATCGGACGGACGAGCAACGCATGGGGCAGCCCATTGGGGCACAGGTGGACAGAAGAAATGAAAGAATAATTAGAGCAACAGCGCGTATGGAAAGGGCAGTGAGGTCACACAGATCTAGATCCAACACGCGATTTTCGAAGATAAGATAAGATTGCGAGATCAAAGCGAGAAGAGAGGTCGGCGCAACAGTGATGATCGAGTAGAAGTAAGCGATAGATGGCGATGGCCGTTCCAGATGAACAAGAGTAGCGAGGGATAGCTGGTAAGAATACACTCGTTTCGGGAGAGCGTCGGTTGTCTTGCTGGCGCAGACATGATTCGCGATGTTGTACTTAGTTGGCATGAAGGGCGTCGGAGGGCGCCGCGCTGCGTATAGATGCGCAATTTTATGCACCTGGGACCTCGGCACATGAGCAGAGATATGGCGTGATGCTCCGGGAGACTCTCTGTAGCCTGTTCCCCGTCCTCGATCAGTCGCATTGACGCTGAAACGGCACTGGAACGCACCGTAGCCTACGGAACCGAATTTCCCCCTCCCCCTCCCGCTGAGGTACGGCGACTGCTGTAAGAATGACCGAATAGCCCCGGGATGGAATACTTGGCAGGTGAGCACCATGCGCGTGGCACATGAGGGTTGATGGTATCGGGTACACCGTACGCTACTGAGCGCTGGACTCCCCGCACTCGAATAGACGACAGGTGTTATATTCGTCGAGGCAGTGGCCAGATAGCCGCCCGTGGCGCGTCTCGGTCTCGAGTAGCCACATGCGGTGTCTTGAGCGGGTGTAGCGGGCGCCCAGGCGTAGCTGCGCGGTGCGGGGAGTCGAGGCGCAGTAGGTTATTCATGAATAGCCAAGCAGTCCTCTTAAGAAATTCACGACGGGCATCGAGTTTTATGCTCTACATCTGATAGATAGTGCGTGATGAGACCAAAGATATACATTGCAAGGGGAAGATGGCGGCTTGGGACAAAGACGGTGGACCACAGGCACCCACAAGGACCGCGTGTTTGGATGTTCGCACGGGATGGAGAGGCAAGTAGCAACCGCCGCAGCGATCCGAACGTCCCACAACCCACCCCGATCGCCCACCTCCCCTGCTCGCTCGCCGTGATAAGCGTCGACGGGCACAGCCGCGCCGCGATGAGCCTCGACCACACGCACTCGCACGACGACGCCTCCTCGTCCGGCCTGCCCTCGGACGCCCTCTCCCGCCCCTCCCTCTCGCTTTCTAGCTCTACTTCCACATCCCCGCCCCCAGACGACAAACGCTCCTCGTACACAGGCTCCGCATCGCTCTCGCACCACACCTCCGCCACACTCTACCCCCCGCCCTCCAACAACGGCCACGCCCACGGCCCCTCGCCCGCGGCCCTCGCCGCCGGCGCAGACTACATCTCCCTCACCGAACCCCCCAGCGACCCGCCGCTCGTCGACGCGTCCTTCGACGAGGACGTCCTGCGCAACCTCTGCGCGCTCGACTGCAGCGTCCCGCTCATGACCGACCGCCTCAAGCAGGATCTGGCCGCGACAAAGGAAGTCGCCGGCTTCCTGAAGCGGCGCGCGGCGGTCGAAGACGAGTACGGGCGCAAGCTGCTCAAGACCGCGCGCTCCACGGCCGAGTCGTACTCCCTAAGCGACGGCAAGGCGGGCTCGTTCGTAGCTGCATGGAGCCAGTGCCTGCGGATCCACGAGCGGATGGGCGAGAACCGCGTGCGCTACGCATCGCGCTTACGCGAGATGGCGGACGACCTGGGCAAGCTGAGCGCAGAGACGGAGCGCGCGCGGCAGACGCACAAGGACGCGGCCGAGAGCGCCGAGGCGGACTTGCGGGCGAGCGAGGGCGGGACGGAGAAGGCCAAGGCGCGGCTCGACGCGAGCGCCGACGAGCTCGAGCGCCTGTTGCTCGCCAAAGAGGGCGAGAGCGCGAAGGAGGGCGTGCAGTTCCGACCGCCCGGCGCCGGGTCGGGCAAGCGCGCGCTGGGGAAGGCCACGGCGCTGCTCAAGGGCCGCGGGCCGGCGGCCATCGCGCGGCAGGAGGACGACGTGCGCGCGCGGCTGAACGCGAACGGCGTGGCGTACAACAAGGCGATGGAGGACACCCAGAAACGACGGCAGGAGTACTTCGGCTTCCACCTCCCGCGCACACTCAGGGCGCTCAAAGAGGCGAGCGACGAGATCGACCTCGGCACGCAGTATCATCTCCAGCGATACGCCTTTCTCACTGAATCTATTGTACTTGCCGACGGACAGATTCTCGCGCCTACTGAGCGCGAGAAGGAGAAAGAGAAGGAGAATGGGGTGGAGGATCAGGGGCCCGGGCTGCAGACGGCGCTCGCGGCGCTGGATTACAGGGCGGACTTTAAGGTGTATATGCAGAATTATGCGTATGCGCATGGGGGGAGCACGAGGGGCCCGCGCAGGACGGGTCCGGAGCACGAGGGTTTCGTACGTTCTGTCTCTCTTTGTCTGGTACGGATAAACGCTGACGGCCACCTCCTTTATCCATCTCGCCACTTGATATAAAACGTGCATGTACCATCTACGACGGCCACACAACGATGCTCTTCACCATCCACCCCCGCCGCGCCCATTCCG